TGGTACAAGCCCATTTGTCATTTCCATGTTATAGGCCATATCAGACTGGACCACCCACTCATTACTGCTCTCGTCGAGAGATGGCGCACAGAGACTCATACATTTCATTTCCCGACCGGTGAGGCCACCGTCACATTGCAGGACGTATCTGTCCTATACGGTCTACGGATTGATGGGCGAGCAGTTACTGGACTTGACCCATCATTGACGACGGAGCAGTGGATAGCGCTATGTGCTGAGCTATTGGGAGTAGCACCTACACTTGCAGACTTACAGGCAGGTAGAGTGAGGGTGAGGTGGCTGTCGGAGCATTTTCAGGGCGATTTTCCAGATGATGCTGCAGATGAGTTAGTACAGCAGCATGCGCGAGCATATATTCTGTGGCTTATTGGGGGTGTACTTCTCCTTGATAAGTCACAGAACCTGCTCAAGCTGATGTATTTGCCACTGTTGAGAGACATTGACGTCATCGGCCAGTACAGCTGGGGCGCCGCGGCTTTGGCATGCTTGTATAGGATGTTATGTCGAGCCACTCAGGTGGGTGTGACTCAGATCGGAGGACCCCTTGTCTTGCTACAGGTTAGTAAGAATTTTATTACATGTCAATTCATATTGTATGGCATATATCAGTATTGTAATTGCGTTCAAACTATTGCAGATTTGGGCGTGGGAGAGATTGATTCGCATTGCGCCGTCTAGGCGGCAAGTGGTTGCTCCTGGTAAGGTTCCCATCAGCCAGGGAGACATGCAGTTGCCAGCCGGACCTCGAGGTAGCCGATGGAGGGTTGACATGGGCCACGAGGTCGTATCGACCCACGTAGTCGTCGTGTATAGAGACCAGCTTGACCGGATGATAGAGGGCGAGGTATAAAATTTAAATACCTAAATTTTAATTGTCATATGGAGTGTATATGTTCATGAGCGATTTTTAATGGACTTGTCGTTATTGTAGTTTATCTGGTAGCCTTATGCTGGGGTCCTCAGTACGCTCCCAGACTGTTGCCGACTAGGTGAGGAGATATGGATGGCGAGAGTGCTACTTATTTGTTTTGACGTGGTTGAGTGGCATCTCCCTGATCGTGTCCTCTGACAGTTTGGTTGGGTCCAGTCCGTGCCAGATCGGTGCGACACCAAGCGGCTGTTGCATGCGACTGATAGACGTGGCCGAGCCGGCACTGGCTGGAGTCTTTTTATATGCGATATATACAGCTGTGGGATGCCCGTCGCGACAGTATTGTACAGGCTGACTAGAGCGATGAGGTTCTCCCCTCTTTCGACCCTTACATGTTGTGGCATCGGCGACATACACACCTACTAGTTGGTAATCCGAGCCACCTGTCTGAGTCCGGATATCAGGGACTTGGGCCTTCTCTCGAGACATTGGTGAGTATCATAGTATGTGTCAGATAATTGTTAAGATCATAATTGATTTACTTTCAGTCAACTATAGCCTAATATGTTTGAATTTTTGTTCAAGTGGTTCGAGCTAGGAGGTCATATCACTTGGCTGAGGACGCCCTTTTCAGACGTGATGGACAGCATGCGATGCAGGCCCTTGCAGAGATCTGAGAGTTATTACACGAGGGGATCCAGCTGCCCATCGGGTAGATCGTCTGCATTTTGGCCACTACGGTGTACACAGTGCAGCAGTTGCTCTAGACACATCAGTCTCGTCCATGTTAGTGCCTTCCACTTCAGCGCCAGCCACAGCAGGTCCTTGGACTTCAGTCATCCCACCGCATGGTACCCCATACATTTCTCCAGATTCCCCACACATATATCCTACCCAGCATGCTGACCCTGATTGGACACCGCCCCTATACATGCATGACGTCGTTACCCCACCCACCCAGTTACCACCTGCTTTTTTGGGGACTAGTTTGACCGCGACCATGAGTACACATGATGCAGTTCTCACTGACATCTCCCACGATGAGGATGAGGCCTATATTGAGCCCCTCTAGAACGCGAGGGAGAGGCCGAGGTTATGGTCGTGGCGGATGTCGCGGCCGAGGTCAGCGTGCAGGTAGAGGCAGAGGTCGAGGTCCAGCTGCAGATCGTGATACAGTTGCACCAGATGAGGGAGTTTCACAACTCACAGCAGTATCCGATCTTCAGCCAGAGACAGGATCAAGGGCAACACATGCAGGAGAAGGGGGGTCACACTCACAGGCTCCATAGGCAGTCAGTGGAGGGCCACATACAGGGGAGGGAGTGCCAGATATTCAGAGAGTCTACCGTAGGAGACCGATGAGGGAGGTCCACGGTCGGGGTTGTGGGACTAGGGCAGGTTAGGGCATTAGCGTGTGTGATATGGAGTGTATAGTTTTTTTTATTTGTACTAATTGTTATAGTTTTTGTAAATTAAACTTGTACAGATGATGTAAATGTGTCATACTTATTTATTCGAAAATATAATTTCACAATTTTTTATTCTTACTTATTTTGATGAATCATACAAATCCGTTTCACATCTCTATCTGTCTCTCATTCTCCGTAGTCTCTGCATTATTTATAGTAATTTACGTTTTTTCCTCAAATTTATAAATTGAGACAACCATTTATAAACCAAAAAAATTATCAAACAAGTTTTCATGATAGTTTTTAAAATTTGGTAAAAATGTCTTCAAATTAACAAATAATTAAATAAGTTACCAACGTAAAAAATGACTTATTAAAAGATTTTTAGGCTGTGTATAGTTTGATTTTTAGAATTTTTTTCAAAAAATAAAAAATTAATTTGGTTAAGCAATAAAAAATAAAAAATCATTATAATTTAAGGGTAAAAAATAATTATCATTTTAACTTTTGGGCAGGTTATATATATACGTATGGTTGTTTTAATTTAATTTAATTTGTAAAAAATTATTTCTAACCACTCGAAAAAAAAAATTATATAAAAATTATATAGTTGATTATTATTTGCTATTATAAATTATTATTTAAGTGAAACAATTTGCGGTTATCAAATAGACTTAATTGATTTTTTACTTAATATATTCAGTTTTAAATTCAAAATTAAGTTATCAAACCCTTAGGTGAAAACAAAAAAATAAAATTTTTTGACACAAAATTTATTATTTTTAAGTTTTTATTTTCCTACAGGACAAATAATTTCGGATGAAGGTAGTACTTGTGTTTGGATTATAACTTTAGATAGGAATTAAGGAAAAAGAAAGAAAGAAAATAGAAAAAAAAATTGATTTATATTTTCTTGACATTTTCTTTTCCCTTTTCAAAGTTTTACATAAATTCATGATCGAAATACAATTAATAAGAATTTTTTTTAAGTGCAAGCCTGACATATATGAAAATTTTATATGAAACACAAGAAAAAAAAACTTACACCAAACACAAAGGTAGCGTTTGTTAATGTTTACGTTTTTGGTTTATGTTTACAAAAATTTTATAAACTGGTTTTTGTTTATTTTTAGAAAAATATAAATTACAAACGCGTTTGATTTGAACAAAATGTTTAAAAAAATTTAAAAACATAAAATAAAAAATATATTTGTTCAGGCCTAAAATATTTATATTTATTTTTATTATTTATAACAATGGGATCACACATATTATAATTGAAAAAAATTTAATTTAAAAAAAAATTAATTGAAAAAAATAATTGAAAAAGAAATTATTTGAAAAAAAAATTAATTGGGAAAATAAATATTTGAAAAAAATTTAATTGAAATAAAAGATTAATTGAAAAAAAAAAATTAATAGAAAAAAAAAATTTAATTGAAAAAAAACTATTTGAAAATATTGGTCTTAATTTCATATATTTGACTATTATTTGCTATTATAAATTTTATATATATATTTAATATTAGTCTTAATTTTATAAAATAAAATTTATATATATTAAAAATTATATTGGTTTGGTGTGTGTGTGGGGGGTTTGGTGTGTGTGTGTGGGATGAGTGTTTGTGTGTCAGAGAGAGAGAGAGATATAGAGAGATAGAAGAGAAGAGTGAGTGTGTAGAGTGAGTGGTATTGAAAGCGTTTTTCAAAATAACAATAACGGAGAGAAAGCAAAGGTATTTGTTATTTGTAGAATTACAAGAACTTTTCAAAAACAATTGAAATATCTCCCTTTATTGATAAGTCGTGGATAAGCATTACAAATCCATTACAAGATAAATGGTTGGGTCATTCATCCAAACAATTTCATTCATTATATTATCATCATCATCTGACATATCAATATCAGATTCATACATAACATCCATGCTCCAGGCGAAGTACTGGTGTGCATCATCCATTAACTCATCTTCGGCATGCTCATTTGCGGTCTTCATTAGTGAGGACCTTTGCAAACGTTGGGTCATGCGATTAACTTCGTCGCGGATACGATGCAATGCCCTTTGCAACAACTGTGGAGTGTCAGTTGGCATAAGCATGGCTAATCGGCGAGGAAATTTAATATTAACTTCACGACATAACTCAACGAGAACGTTTACTCGAGTTATGCGAAATTCCCATTCAGCTCTCATGGTATTGACGGTGGCATCTAAGTAACGCAAATTTGGATTTAATGGGTGTTGAAATTCATCTCCATCTGTAACCCAATAGCGACCCATTGCTGAATATAGATCAACCACCGTATATCTCATGATGATATTGCTTGAAATAGCTATAAAACTTTTGTTGTGGTATGATGCGATATTTATACCATATATACACATGGTAACTGTATGTATGAAATTATAGTAAACAACTATGCATCAGAGTTCTCACGTCAACTTTTATGATCTGAACAACTATGCATCAACTTGATAGGAGTTGTCACTTCGACTTTTATTTACTACTCAGTGCATATCTGAAGGTTTTAAGCAAAGTTCAAATCCGCTTGGAAATTTAATTTAATTTTTCCGCTTATAAATATAATTCAATTTATTTTGCCTTGACAACATATTTAATTTCATTTTTTACCTTACATATTTCATTTAATTTAATTGAAGAAATTTGACCAATTTAATACTTTGTTAATTATGTGTTGATTTAAGTCGGTGTTGTTCTTGTCTGCATACTAGGCTAGGTTTTATCTGTAACTTTTTCAAGTTACGAAATGACGAAAAACTCATTCATTCTAACTCTACTACAAATTAATCTTCAATACATTCTAACTGTATAATATTTTATCTTCAACGTTTATGAATCTATTTGGGGCTGCATAGGGTGGCTTTTTAAACAAAAAGGGTTTAATTGTTTTGTTATTTTGTTCTGACACCTCCTCAAAAATTTTATGAATTGCATAATTCACATGGGCACAGTAGGTATGGTACGATAATAAATTGTAGCTCGGCGCAGTGATACGTCCAACATTTCTCAGTGATGCTCGCCAGTGACTTGAATAGACGTAATAATTTGTATGCTTTGTTTTTTCCTCAGATGCTATGTGACTGATGCAGTGATGCATGTGATGCATGTGACTTTGTGCAGTGATACAGTGATGCATGTGACTTTGTGCAGTGATGCAGTGATGCATGTCACTTTATGCAGTGATGCAGTGATGCATGTGACTTTTTGACTTTGGCATGCTTGTATACTTTGTGAATTTTTTGCATGCATATATGTGATGCATGTGACTTTGTGCAGCGTAACTTAGATGCTCTGTTTTTTCCTCACATTTCTGAATTCATGTAAGTCACATTAATACGACCACATGGCAATAATGTTGATAAACAATTATGTAAAGGACTAAAGGAGTTAAGTGTAATTTACCGAATATAAAAAGAAGCAGAAAATGCAAAGAGGAGAAAAGGGAATGACTGTGAAGTTCATTAAGTGAAAATAAGATAAAATATAGGCTGCAGTGCCAATCTTGTTACTTTTTATCAGGTGACCATTTTATTATTTTGCTGA